CGGCGGCGGCGGCGTTCGGCCGTCCGCGTCCGAGGAGTGGGTGGCGGGAATGAGCCTCCTGATGACGCTGATCGTGCTCGCCATCGTGCTGGGCAACGCGCTGGTGATCGTGGCCATCGCCCGGACGCAGCGTCTGCAAACCCGCACCAACGTGTTCGTGGTGTCGCTGGCGTGCGCCGACCTCATCATGGGCATCCTGGTGGTGCCCTTCGGGGCCGCGCTGCAGCTGCGCGGCGCCTGGGACTACGGCTCGTTCTTCTGCGAGCTGTGGATCTCCGCGGACGTGCTGTGCGTCACGGCCAGCATCGAGACGCTGTGCGTCATCGCCGTGGACCGCTACGTGGCCATCACGGCGCCGTTTCGCTACCAGAGCTTGCTCACCCGAGCCCGGGCCAAGGCGGCGGTGTGCGCCGTGTGGGGGGTCTCGGGACTCGTCTCCTTCCTGCCCATCCTCACGCACTGGTCCCGGGACAGCGCGCACGCGGCGTGCTACGAGGACCCGGCGTGCTGCGACTTCGTCACCAACCGGGCGTACGCCGTCTCGTCGTCCGTCGTGTCCTTCTACCTGCCCCTGGTGGTCATGGCCTTCGTGTACGCGCGCGTCTACCGGGAAGCCAAGCAGCAGCTGCGCAAGATCGACCGCTGCGAGGGCCGCTTCCACATCCACGCCGGCGGGGCGCGCTGCGGGAGGAAGCCGCCGCCGCCGCCGCGCTCGGCCGCGCTGCGCGAGCACAAGGCGCTCAAGACGCTGGGCATCATCATGGGCACCTTCACGCTCTGCTGGCTGCCCTTCTTCGTGGTCAACGTGGTGCGCGTTTTCGGCGCCGAGCTGGTGGACGAGGACTTGTTCGTCTCCCTCAACTGGCTGGGCTACGCCAACTCGGCCTTCAACCCGGTCATCTACTGCCGGAGCCCGGACTTCCGCAGGGCCTTCAAGAGGCTGCTGCGCTGCCGGCCGCGGCCGAGGGCGGAGCGCGCGCTGCGCGTCGGCTCCTGCGACCTGAGCCGCTACTCGGCCGGCTTGCTGGCGGCCTCCTCGCTGGAGCCCGCCGGGGGCGGAGGTACGCTCGGCCCGTGGGCCGCGGACTGCGCCGTGATGGAGAGCAGCCTGGCCGGAACCGGGAGGCCGCCTCGCTCCGAGTCCCGTTTCTGACTCCCGAGTCCAAACGTGACACCGACCCCCCCCCCCCCCCCCCTCCCCCCCCCCCCCACCCCATTTCTGTTCAGCGCACAAGGGTGATCATGGAGTTCATGTGGACTATGCTTCAAAGCCTCAAGTGCTTGCTGAAACCCCCATTTTAAACAATAGTGAGCCACTGTTTTCGAGCCCCGGCACAACATTAAATGCATTAAACTGAACTTAGGCTGTGCAGTACCAGACTTTTGAGAATGACTGAGCGAATACTGTGTTTATTTTCTCTGGCTTGTTGCTGGCACAAAGACACATCGGTCACGAGTAACTTTCCGGGGATCAATTCGCTGTCATTCAACCTTGAAGCCAAGGCAGATCATTTCCACGAGTCCGGGCTCACAGCATACCACCAAACAAAAATTGAAAGAAGACACTCTACTGCAGGGGTCCCCAACCGCCGGTCCGCAGGGCATTTGGTGCCGGGCCGCACAGAAACAACTTGCCTTAATTCCGGAATACGAAAGATGTTTTATTTTGAAAAATTACCGGATTCTCCGTTACATCCGTCTGTGTCACGCTTGACGCACGTCAAGCCACGCTTCTCCGTCACGTGACCGATTACGCTTAAAAACAAAACGTGGGAGCTCGCAAAAAATGAGTAACAAAAACTGCTGGAGATTGCAAATGACGGCGTCCTTAAAAGTACGTTCGAGAAAACTGGATTAAAGTTATGGCTGAATACTCTGATATCGCCACAATAGCACTGTTGCTCTTTCCGACATGCTACCTGTGTGAGGCGGGGATTTTCTGAGCAACGGCGACTAAAACAAAATTATGAAGTAGACTGGACATAAACCACACAGTTGAGGTGTCATTGTCTCTGATTACCCCGACATGGGACCGTGTGGTTGCAGAAAATCAAGCTCGGGGCTGTGGTGAGTCGTCATTTTCATGCACTTTGAATTTGCATTGTATCGTATTTTGAAGACATTAAACATTGCCATAGCAATCAGAGTGTTGCGGCCAGATGAGACGCTCCTTGTGTTTATTATTATATTTCGAAAACACCACAGTTTTCATGCAGCTCATACCATATTATTTTGTTGTATTATTTCCGCCACACCTTAAATGCCGGTCCCTGAAAATATTGTCTGACAGAAACCGGTCCGTGGGGCAAAAAAGGTTGGGGACCCCTGCTCTACTGCATGATTCCATTGAAAGATTTTACCTCGACTTTTGAAAACAAACAGTTCTGAAAAATGAATTGCCAAGGTATTGACCTTAAGTTAAATACAACAGAACAGAAGCAAAATCTTCATTTAGCCCGACCTCGTGAAAATGAAATGACATGCCTCATTTTTGTATTGAAGCCCGCCTTCTGTTTAACCTTACAGCCGTCGACAAGTGCAATTGCAGCCAAATTTGTTCCTATGAAAACGTCGCCTATTTATTTCTGCCCGCGAGGTTGCGGGTTGAATTCCCGAAAATGTCGAATGTGGCTTACGTGCTGTTTTGAGTGTCCTGTGGAATTAAAGCAAAAGAAACCTCTGTTCATTGTCTCTTTGGGTTCATTGATTTTTATTGTGCTTCGGATGATTTTTTTCTAGCGATGAAGCGCCGAGACTGCTGACAGTGGTCGTGGTTCGACAGTCCCTTTAGTCAACTAGGATGCGAAAAATATGAAAAAAACAATCCTTGAAACAGCCTAGCCGGGAAAGACGAAGCGTGTTATGGCGAGGGATGACTGCACAGCAAATGCATGCACACTAATCAGGCTGGTTATCTCTTCCCACAGGCAGCTCCGACCCAAAGAGAAGGGCGGGCGGCTTTGGCCATTGGCAGGTGTGTTCATCCAAAGCCGGGAGGGGAGTCGGCGTTTTATCAGCGGGCTAAGAATAGCCTCCTGGTGACCAGAACTGGTTGCACAGAATCAACCTGCGCCTGCAGCTGGCTGGAGAGGAAAAAAGAGAGAGGGAGAGATAGGATCCCCGCCCAAAAGTAAGATGAAAGGCCATCGGTGGCACCATGTTGCAATTCACCTTCACATGTTCGGTTTTCCAAAGATTTGAGAGGAAAATACCAATGAAGCAATCATTCAGTCAAATGTTGATCACGCGAACGCCCGTCGGTGGGTGTGGAAATTCTTGCCGTGCTTGAATCCTACCAGGCGCTGTGCCGCGTGACCTCCAGCTTTGCCGACGACTCTTAAATCTACCTCGGGCACACAAACTCGTTCCATTTGATGTCATTGGCTGCCGGCGAAAAGAGCAAAATCAACAAAAGTGAGCTTCCACAAGGTGAAGAAGCATCTCATTTAATTCCCCGGAGCCACACATGCATACGCGCACATATTGGCTACCTAAAGTACATACACCTCATCCAGTATTTAGCAATGTATCTACAAGTGGATATGAGAATCACAGTTTGAATATTCCACACTGACAGAGGCCGCGGAAATCATTGCACAGAACCAAAAAACGGGTAGCTCCCCCTGAAAAAGTCATTTCAAAGCTATCCTAATCATGTTCAAAGCCGACATTCCCCACAAACGGCGCTATTAAAAAAACAAAAACAAAAAAAACCCCCCCAAAACGTCGAATATTTTATTTTGAACAGAATGGAGGAAACAGGAAATGCAAAACTGGAAGCAACAAGTAAACTCAGGAACTAGCCTGGTGTCTTAGTTAAGGGGCAAAACCAATTGCATTTTTGTGGGCGACAAAAACAAATGTGCACATACTTTAAGGGGAGGGAAGGGAAAAAACAAACAAACTTCCGTTTTGATGAAAAATGTTGCCTTTGATTTTTATTTAAAAAAATAAATTGGTATTTTCATTTGCCTTCCACCGAATCATTTCAATCAAAATTCAAATTTTAGGTGATTGAAATCGATTTGTTGTGACGAGTGAGCGGGAAAAGTAAAATGTTGGTGCTACCGGTAATTATTTCCATTTAAATTCACAGCAATATTGCAAAACATCTTAAGGAAGAAAAAAAGTCACCCCCCCCCCAAAAAATAAATAAATAAAAAAAGAGGCAAGAACGATCAAAATAAAATCAAAGTGGGGAGAAAGAAAATCCATCAAATAAATGACATTCAAACTGGCCTCGTGTGGACGTCCTTCCATTTTCAAGAGCTTGCGCGTTGCCGAGCACGGCGTCACAAAATGGCTGCTGCTCCACACAGGGAGGAGTGCTACGTTTTTACAGGCGAGCAGCTTTTCAACTTAGCAAAAATCATTTGGCATCGAGGTTTCATCTGTGGATGGCGTTGTTGAACAAAGAACCTGGAGACAAAATCGACGCCTCAACACACACACACGCACACACTTGGTCCATTTTCCTTGTGGCGAGTGTCCACCGAAGAGCGCGTCTACATTCAGAATAATGGCCTGTCCTCGTAGGAATGGCAACATGGCTCATGGCGAGGAAGATCCGTTGTACCGAAACGGGTGCAAAGTTGACAGTTCAAGTAGGTCGGAAGGTGAGGAGAAAAAGAGGCGCCGGTCTCCCGAAAGGGCGCTCGCGTCCTTGGCGCGTCGGATGCAAGCCGCCCGGAGGCGTCCCGTTCTCGGAAGGCCGCCCTGCCGATTGTCCTTCAGTGCTTTCCTCACGTCCTTCTCTCCGCGTCGCCAGGCTCTCGTTGCTGTTTGATCAGCTTCTCGATCTCTGCGCCCAACGTCTGCAGGCTCTCCTGGAAAACGCGAAGCCCCCGAGGTGAGTTTGGCCCGCGGACGTCATTGTTGAAATCCACGGACAAAATGGGAGCTCGGCCGCTCCCGGCGTACCTTGAGTGTGATGTTCTTCAACAGGGTGTCCTCCAGCACCGCCTGCAGCTTCCTGTTGATCTCCAGCGACAAGTCCAGCGTGAGCCCGCTGTCGGCCGGGTGGGAGGTGTACAGCGACGCCATGATGCCGCCCCGTCGACTCAGGTGGGCCTTGTTGAAGTCGGACGCCTCCGACGAGAGCGCCCCCGACTCTTCCCTTAGCACGTAGCTCTGGATGATTCTGGGCCGCGGAGGGAGAGGAGACGGCGTTTGTCGGACATACTAGCATACTGTTGAGCCGCCGGCTCTCGTTGAACCAGGACATTTATTGGTCGATTCCAGGATTAAACGCCTGGTGTGAGGTTTGCCGCTAAGCTCCTCGTTGGAGAACAGCAACTTGTGCAAAAAGCTCTGAAACATTCCCCAATCGTCGGGGTTGCCCATGACGCTGAAACGGCAGCGGCGACCAGAGTCCATTAGCGGACTCCCGGCTTCCCTGCGTCTTGGCAGCGGCCTGTTCGGGTGCGATTGTGCCGACGTCCTTCGCACGCTTTCAATTCTCCCGAGCACACGGCTGTGAGGATGAATCGCCAAAGATGCCTGCTAATTCATTCTTAGGTGCCGCCCCCCACCCCCCACCCCCGCCCCTGCGCTATAAATAGCTGTCATGAATTTTGGAACACAGGGCGAAGCGTGGCTGAGAATTTGTAATTGTCTGACTTGGCGTGTTGGGGAGGGGGGGGATTCGTCATGAATGCGTCAAAGCACATGCTGTCCTTCAAGGTCAATGGAGGCGATTGAGAAAACCTGCACTTTATTTCTTGCATTTATTTACACAATGCTGCTTATTCCGCAAGGATCATGCGTCTAAAAAAAAAAAAAAAGTGCTAAGATGAATATCAATGTATTTCAAATTCAATTCGAAACAAACAGAGACACCAGTGAAAAAAAAAAAAAATCCTCCTCCTCCTAATAATAGCAATTTCTCGTCCCGACTTGCGTTGACACTCACTTGGTCTTTTTCCGGATCTCGTCCACCAGCTGCTTGATGTGATCCTCCACGAACTCGATCTTCTCCTGCTTGCGGGCCAGCGCCTTCTGCAGACGGACGATGCGCTCCACCAGCACGGCCTTGTCCACTTCCGGGAAGCTGTCGGCGCCGACCGCCGCGGAGTGGCCCTCCGGCGAGCGCTCCTCGCCCGCGCCCCCGTGCCGCGCGTTCAAGGAGCCTTGTGGGAGGTAAGGGCTCATTTCAGCACTCGGCTCCGGCTTCGCGATGGTCACTCCACAAAATGGCACGGGCGACTTTTGAGGGCACTCGTCGCGTATCGAACGACGGTCAACGCCTTTGCTTATGATGAAAGATTGGGGACAAACCGGGCGAAGCACCTGAGGAACTCGATCGGCTGCCCATGCTGCCGCCGTCACGGTCGCAGCCTCCGTTCTCGACCTGGTCCAGTCGCTTCCGGGCTGAGACAGAACAGAAAGGGAGGGGGGGAGGGGCATGTTTTATTATAATAAGAGTCATAGAAAACCCCCAAATCACCAAATTCAACATTCTTTCTTGGAGGGGTGGGCCACGGACGGAGGAAGCGCTCGGTACTTATCGCGGCATTGGGAGACCAACGTTTTCCAGAAACGTTATTGATTTATTTATGCGGTAAAT